ACGTCCCCACCTCCAGACGATGACGCAGACTCCTCGTCCTCACCATCCTCATCATCCTGCTCCCCAGACTTGAACGAGCTCAGATTCTCAAGCTCTTCACAGAACTCCTCGACCACTTCATAGTCAAGGGACTTGGTGGAGGGCTCGTCGTCGTAGGGGTAGTACTCTTCGTTGAAGTCTTTCATCTTAAACACTATTTCGAGTACACGACAACCTACTTCGAGATCTAAGGGTGTTCAAACGCCTAACACTAGATCACTAGCCTAGGAAGCAAAATATACAAAGTACAGAGAAATTTCGATGACACTAACCTTGAAGAACACGAAGAACACGAAGAACACTTGCTTTGAAGTTTATCTCTCTAGAAATTTGGCCAGCACTTCGATAGCTCAGATTGCAAATGAGAGCTCTCGTCGGACAGAGAGGGGTATTTATAGAACCCCCTACCCAACGGTCACTACACGTGGCAGCCTCCCAGTGGCCACACCAACAGCCACTAACGGGACGCCACCACGTCATTAATGGGCCAAACCCAATCCACAGATCAAAAGCCCACTGGCAAAGCAGGCTCTACGGAACGGGGAAGGGGAGAATAACACTCACAACGGCCAGGGCACTCAACGGCCAACAACAGACAACGGTTACCCCACAGCACCCGTATCAGCCATCTAGACGGCCACAATACCCCAAAGGAAAGGAACATAACGGCCATGAGACCCTCGCACTAAAACCCTTGATGATAACCCTTTGAAAGCGACCTGCGTCCAAGGGTTCTCCCACAGGGTTACCTTGGTCAGGAAATCGCCAAAGTGTTGGATTCAAGGGCCGTATGAGGATCCCACTTCGGCCTAAGTTTCGAATGACTCCTTCACCCCTCACTTACTCTTCGGCCTGAAGCAGTGGGGGACTGGGGGACTACACCGGCCTCAAGAATAACAGGCGAAATCAAAGAAATCCAAAAATACATTAAGTCCACAACTACAACATCAAGACATGCACCACAACGTCCATAACATCATGGTGCACCTTCGGCCACAGCAAAGCTTGAGATCACAGGACACTCATCGGCCTTGAAACCACACGTCACTGTCAAGCCAGGAGTCAAGAGAAAGATTAACATACCTAAATCACTGTCGTCCATGTACCGCAACGGCCCCAAGGTCCTCACAACTTCACCTTCGGCCAGACAGTGTTATCATCCCCAAAATCGTGGGCAACATGGCGCCTTGTCGTCCAAAAACACGAGGCATCATCAACAACGGCCAAGAGGAAGGCACGGTGCCCTCATCGGCCACCCAAAACAAAGACGCAACCCCATCAGCCACCCTAAAGGGAAACGTGCCCAATCAACAACCAAGGAGAGACACTACCTTCATCGGCCACTCGTGCCAGGACACTCATCATCCACAAACAAAGCGCACCAAAGGAACAATAGCCTTCCCCGTCCGCATCAGGGGGCAGGCAACGGCCAAACTCAGAACAGGGCCACCAAACGCCACAACAGGGAACGGCCAACGTGGTCCCGCATTGGCCAAGAAGCATCGAGCACAGAAATCTACTCTCCCTCACTTCGTCTACATCTCAGCTTAGAGAGTGGGGGACTCCTCATGGAGTATATGGGTCTAGGCCCCAGGACCCACATACTCAGAAGAACAGAAAGCACAGCCACTACGCGGTGCCCTCGTCGGCCAAAGACCCTCGTCGGCCGAAGAAGGACCAACTCAGAATATGATCCTGAAGCCAAGGAACCAGGGTGTCCTCATCGGCTGTGCCCTCATCGGCCGTGCCCTCGTCGTCCAAGACCCTCGTCGGCCACGGATGTCTCACAGAACCGGATTTTACACTTATTCATTTATATAGCCCACCAGTGGCTTTGTATTCGGCCCAATAGCGGTCCAGTTGTAAATGGGCCTCCCGAGCCCAAGGCTTGGGAGTCCAGCCCGTATTTTTCCTATAAATACTTCTTCTGGAGGTAGTTATGGGGGTTACAAAATCATTCTATTGAAGCATTACTTGCACTTCTCTCTAGCTCTCACTTCTCTCTAGATATATATATATATATATATATATATATATATATATATATATATATATATATATATTACAAGTTGTTCGGTGTTCGGTTCGGTTTATGGTTTTTCGGTTTTAAACCAAACCAAACCAAACCATTCAGTTTGAGCAAATTGCTACCAAACGATTTGCTTAAGTAAACCCAAACCAAACCAAACCACCAATTTTTGGTTCGGTTCGGTTAAGAAGATCTGTAACATATTTATGTTGGGAGAAAAAGTGACCTAGATAGAATTAAATAGGAAGTTATTAAACTATATACTTTGGAAAATCAAAACTTAATTATTTTTTTTTTGAAATTTTTCGTGAACGTGTGACTGTTTGTAGTGATATATAAAAAGATAGATATCATCAGTTGTATTATTTGAGTGTGACTGTATATATTATTGGTGATGATTGGCAAAAACTCATAAAAGACTTATCACTTTTAGTGATTTTAATGAAAACACATTGGTGATAATATTTATATTATCATGGAACAAATTTTAACTAAAAATAATGTTATTGATAACATATTTGTTGTTGGTTCTGATAATGGTATTAATAATAATGTTGTTATACCTATATTACATGAATTGTGGATCCTACTCTGATTGATACATTTTTACATCAACATTGTGCATGTCATCATATTATTAATTTGTGTGTAAAAGAGGGCTTAGCCGCATTAGAAAATGTGATGGAGAAAATTAAGTGTAGTACTACAGTTAAACAACAATGGCGTGCTTATTTGAAATCTAAACTTGTCAAGTACTGTGTTTTTCCTAAAGATTTGTCTATTTGGTAGAGTAGTATTTATAAATTATAATTCCAATTCTTAGATTTAGGAACCCTTTGCCTGACTTTTTGAAAGAAACTAGTAACTACTCCCTCCGTTCTTTTTTAGTTGCAACGGTCAACATTTCACATTTACCAACGCACGTCTTTGACCGTAATTAAATCTTAATTCTATTAGTAAAAAAATACTAAAAATCAGATTTTGAATATTTGTAATGAGATGAATTGAACAATATTTTTTAAAAAAAAAATTCATAAAATAATAGCGTAAAATGTAGTCAAAGTAGAGCATGTGAATAGTGTAAAATTCAACATGTTGCGATTAAAACGGAACAGAGGATAGTATATTATAGAACCGTGAGAGTTAGACACTAGAAAAAAATTGGAACGTGTTAGTTTATTTTCATAGCGTTACTCAATCTTTTTCTAATGTATATACACCTACTATTAACATGGTTTTATAGAACCTGTTAATCTCATCATTGCTATCAATGAATTTCAAGGGTTCATTATTTTTGTAATTTCATGAAAGTTTTTTTTAAAAATATATTATACCTACACTCCGCTGATATATTCAATTGTTTTCGTTTTGATCCCCGTTTCAACCTTGTTAGTTATCAAACATTTTTAGAGTGCTGATATAGTTGTTTATATGTGCCTATGTACAATGACCACCCTATAGATATTCAAGCGTAATTCAACGAGATTAGTAATATATTTCTTACTTCATTTAAAGAATCTCATGCACAATATACTAACATACCCCCTCCGCCGAAACAACTTGTTTCTTTAGCTAAAGAAAAGAGTCTTTTTAAATCTGCAATATCTAATCTTTTGAGAGAGAAACTAAATTTACTCCTATCATTTCACAAAGCTGGATTAACAAGCTTTCTTTACATCTAACGTTTTCATGTAAGTATGAAGAAAGAAAGTGACATTCTCAAATGGTGGAAGGATAAAGAAGGGATGTTTCCGATTTTTATCAACAATGGCCAAACAAATCTTGTCCATGTCTGTTTCGATGGTTGCCTTGGAACAAGAGTTTAGTGTAGCAAGCAACGTTATGACAAGTTATAAAACGATGTTAAGTGCACAACCTCTTGAGACATTAGTGGTTGAAGGCCCGTCGGCGAATACAAGAACTAAACATAGCACCGATTCGCCACTTCATTGAGAAAATGACAATCGAGTTAAAAAGCAAGAGTTCCAAAGAATAGGAGATTTATGTAACCATTCTCTATTGCAATTTAAATATTTAAAAACAATTCTTTGCTTACACACATAATTATGTTTGAGATGGAAAAACTGTCAAATAAAAAAAAACTCAATTAAACCCTTGAACTAAACAAACACTCAATTAAGGGCCTGTTTGGTAATGGATGCAATGGCTGAAATAGGTTTAATAGACTGAAAAGGCTTAATGTGCTGAAGTGAAAGTGTTTGGTAATATGTTGGCTGAAATGGTTGATTGAGGGTAACATTACTATAAAAGGTATTAACTTGTTTGTGTTAAATATATGTGTATTAACTTTGCTAGTAAATTAATTTTGTTTGATTAGGTAATTACTAGACAACTTAAATAACCGATGACATTGGATTTTTTACTCTTGTGTTGAATTTATATTGTTCAATACAAAAAAATACACTTTCAATAAAATATATGGACACTACTACATTTTCGAGTCTAATGTAACATTAAAATTGTAACGTTTATTGAAAGTGTTACCTAAAATCAGTCTATTGTAATAGTTTTGAAGATTTCGTTACATTTAAGTCAAAAGTGTTGCATTTATTGTAGTGCTAATGTAACGCCTTTAAACGATTTAATAAACTATTACATTTGTTCACCCGGTGTTACTTTTGGTGGACTCTTTTGTAACATAATTGAAGCGGCAAAATTGAGCGCCATATTTTCATTAAAATTAAGCTAAAACTGTAGCGCTTAAAGGCAGGACGGTAGAAAATCTAAACTGCCTGCTCCTGCAAACACTTTTGTACATAATTTTCAAATCTTTTGCACCTACAATTTTAATTTAACTTTTTAATTTAACAGGTTGAAAGTCTTTTTCCTAAAAAGAAAAAGGTTGAAAGTCAAAAAGTTAAAAGGAGATAAGTGCATTTAACTACTCGTTTTTTCTACACTTTTTCAAAATTAATTTTCCTTTTAGAAAACCTCTTCCATTGGAGTGGAGCGGAAAAGAAATGGGGATTCAGGATTTCATCAGCTCCACCACCAATTCACTGAGACGGAAGTCCGTCGCTCTCGTGAAGCAAGCATGGGCAGCTTCTCGCGCCTTCGGATTTGCAGCTATCGCTAAGATCGGTGACGCCCCTAGAGCCATCAATATTCACCGGCTCGACCCGGTTCGCTATATGCCCTATGATGAATGTCGTGCAAAGGTCGTCGTCTTCTCTAGGAAATTCGCTAGAAACACCGTCTTCTTCAGCCTCCAATGGTAGAAAACCCTAAGTGAAAATCTAAACGCCTGCTCCACTTAACATGATATTAGACACGCCCGCGCCCTGCTTGTGCCTCTCCGCCCTCCCATCCGGTTAGTGCTATTGCTTTCTTCGATAGTCCGCTGGATAGCAGACAGCTCCGCGGCCCACCTGTGCTTTTCTGCCATTGGCCGATGCTTTATCCAATTTTTCTGCCGTACCTTTTGATTTGCTTATTAGGTACGCCCGTTCTTTATTGGTTACTGCACATTGCCACCCACGCATTCCTCATTCCCCATTTTTAACACTCAGAGAAGAATGATTAATTGATGTTTGGGGCTTTGGGATTACTGGATGTAATAATGATTTCATAAATAAATCTCAAATTAGGGATCCCATATTACTTTGTTGTTTTGTGTGATGCGGCCATAACTTGACTCACTTTGAACTGGTAGATTTTTACTTTGAATTTTCAATGTTTCGCGAGCACATTTTGGCAACCTCTGGATAGTCATTGTGGTTAGGAGTTTACTGAGAGTGCTGATGGTAGCACTTCTATTTTTGGTTCCAAGCAGTGACCCAAACTCCTATGTCCTTCCTATTGAAATGTTGAAGACTAAGAATGGCTAAAATTTTACAGAAAGTGACATTAGTAGGGAAATGGTTATCAATATCAAGTCTAAGGATTTTGTTATATGTACTCATGATGTGAGAACTTAGACTTTTTTCTTTTTGTATTGACAACTTATCTAGTTGTGTGTATATACATGCAGGGGCCTGAAAATTTGTCCTGGGAAGGGAAAAAGGTATATGAAAATACTTTTACTTTTTAATGTTTTCAAATAATGTTCATAGAGTCAGGTGATTGTTTCACTTCAAAATAAAACCAATTTTTATTTCATTTCAGGTTTACAAATGAGGTTCCCCTGTATATATCATGTAAAGGTTTCCCTTCCCTATTACTTATATTTGCATAGGATAGACAATAAGCTTTTTCTTTTTTATACTATATACATAATTGTGACATCTCTTAGATATTTCCCACCATTCAAGTTCTCATTTCTATATACTTGTATTGAATTGCAAAGTGAAAGGATACTCTCTCAAACTTGTGAATTATTGGATAGGCAATAATTCTTATACCCTAGTATTTGCATTGATGTCAATTCAATTGCAATTTATAATTATGAAGGATTGAAGGTTAACATTTAGTATATTTACCCAACTTAATGTAAGATTATGAGATAACCTAACTTCAGGATATTACTATACGTTTTAAAAGTGTATTAGTTCTATGGTTGATGAATCTTACATTTAATTCAATTACAATCTATAATGATGAGGGTTAATTGTTAATATATTTACCTGACTAGTGTATTAGTTTCTACAGGGACTTTGCAAATTTAATGTAAATCTTTTATGAGACTATGCATTCAATGAGAAACTTATATATAGACCACTGGTATGTAATGCGAGTATATGAATAACTTTTATCTACCTTTAAAATCCTGGTGCGTATTTGAATTGGTACCTTTATTACACTTCCAAAAGAAGATGAATTAGCAGGGATATATTTATCTTAAATATGAATAAAAATGAATGAGCAGGGATATATTTCTCTTAAATATGAATAACAATGATTTCATAAAAAAGTTGTAAGCTAGCTATGAGTAGATTAGATACTCTATTTTCTTTTAAAGATTTTCAACTAAAAGAGTGATAGAGAGCGGGAAGAGCAGGGAGAGCAGGGGGCTGTGTGGAAGAGGAGGGTCCGAGACCCGAGGGGCTGTCGGTTTACTGCAGGCGGGAACGGGCTTGAGGTTGATTAGAATTTTTCTCATTTGTTTCCTATTTGGAGTTAATTAGGATTTCTATTATTCGTTTCCTATTTGAAGTTGATTAGGATCTCTATTATTTTGTTTACTAGTTGAAGTTGATTAGGATTTCTAGGATTTTGTTTCCTACTTTGTTAAAACCCCAACTCTATTACTTAGTTGTGAACTCAACAAAGTTCAATTTGTCACTCATCAAAGTTCAATTTGTCACTCATAATAATTAAAGTAAACATTGGGTGAGTCATGTACTGTCTAACTGTGTCAGTGTATTGCAGAGTTGAACTTATATAATTGCATTTGTGTGTGGCTGGTGATTATTAGTTTGTTTAGATTTTGAATTTTGATGTAATGGAGGATCCTAGTATCTTATACTGGGGCACATCCTTTGATCATGTAATTTCTGACTTTACATTTGGTTGTTAGCAGTTATCCAAAAAATAATAATACAACCCAAGAGTACAATTGTTGTGGATGATCGTCTATCAAAGTGAGTTTCTAAATTTTAACCATTATTTGGTTTTCCTTTTAGCTAATTATATGTGTTACTACCTCCGTCCCGTTGGAAGGTTCTCATAGCAAAACGGCATGGTTATTTAGGCAATAATTAAATACACTACTTCAAGTATATTTTGAGAAATAATTTTAATAGGTATATATTATAATGTAATTAGTATTTATAATTGTGATGTTATGAATGTATTATTTTTAATATTTAATGATTAATTTGTCACTTAAGATTGTTAATTGTTTCCTAAAATGGAAATGGGAACTTTCTAACGTGACGTCCAAAAAAGGAAAGTGAGAACCTTCTAATGAGACGGAGGGAGTAATAATTTGGGCTCTTTGTTTTATAGAAAATGATAGACATGAAACTGAGGAGGATGGAATAGATTGAAATAATGAAAGACCGTACGACATGCTAAATCTCCAACCTTTTTGATGGGTTGTTAATGCCGAATACATTCAATTTCAGGTCAAATTTGATTCTCTTGGTTTCGTCTCACTGCTAGGCTTATTAGCATTGTACTTTGTAGCTTAGATGTGAATATGAGTTCTCATACTCAGTTGCTCAAATATAAATAATTGCAGTATAATATTGATTTCTTTTTCAAAACAATATTTAGATGAGTCTTATTCTAAAAAAACAAATGAACTAATTATATATAAATATATAACACGGGCGCCTAATTATTTGAAATGTTTACTTACAGGTGAGGGATTCACATGAAGATGAAGATGGAAGCGAATCAAATGATGAATGATGCATACCCATGATTTGTCACTTGAGCTTCTCCTAGTAGCAGTGATAAACAATCTTTTGGTTTGTGAACATGATGTTCAACAGTTTGCTACGTATCAAACTCACGTCTTTGTCAAAGAGCTTTTAACATAGCTACTTTGCATACTTTTGAATGCTTTTGTACAACCTTAGTTGCTTGGTTTGTAATGTAATGGATTTGATGTTGAGGCCAACATTTGTTTCACTTTTGTACGTAATTATAATTAAATGGCAGCTAGTTACATTGATTGGTATAGGTGTGTAAAAACATCCTGACTGCATGTGTGCAAATATATATACCGTTACATTACATAATTCATCAGCGTCAATGTATTTATAAAACCGTTACATTACATTATTAATCAGGGTCAACTTATTTTTAAAACCGTTACCTCTGTGCATGTTACATACTGTTACATTTGTACTTGATCTGTTGTAACATTTATGGCATCTCATGAGGACCATTACAGTTGGTCATAAATTCCGTTACAAGCCGTTACATTAGAGCAAATGCAACGCGAGCGAATGTAACGACGAGAAACTATTACAATAAGTCGAATGTAACAATTTTTTGGACCAAATGTAATGAATTCTGTTGTTACAAAAGACCCAAAAATGTAGTAGTGGGAGTATTAAAAAGATCACTCACATGCACTTAAACTAAAATAAAAACGAAATAAAAATACTCTTAAATATTTAGTGGAGTTTGTTAATATTTTACTTAAATCCAAAACCATAAAATATTTAGCACTACATGGCCACGGAGCTTTTGATCTGGAGCACTACTCAACGTACGTATAATAGAAGGGCAAACTGGTCTTTTAAGTTAGAAACAGTACAATAATAAAAAACAGCTCAAAAAGTAACTAAATTGTTGTTTTTTCAGCTGATAAGAAAAATCAGCTCAAACAGTCAAATCATCAGGTGTTTGGTGATTTTTTTATACTTACAGGCTTATCAGCCCATATTGGATGCTCCAAACGGCCTCTAAGACATCTAACTTTATAAAACCGGAAGCGTATATGGTATAGCCGGTTGTACGGTGCCAGCCGTACAGCCGGTGGCAAACTTTTAATTTTGATGAAAATCACAATTCTCTTTAAATGAGCATTGAATCAATTTTGATGAGCACCGAGCCTCTTCTTTTGAGTATTAGGAACCTAACGATGAGCATCAGTGATATCTGTTTCATTCCTCATATATCACATTCTTTTTATTATTTTTTCGTTTATTAAAAAGTTTTAGTCCAAAATGAGCATACATAACTTACAAATTAGTATCAATAACTAAAAAGTTCATTTGCATGCAGTGTGCTCATTCATTTTGGGCGTTATACTCATTTGAGTTTAACATAAAACTCATTTCATTTAAAATGAGTATTACACTAATATAAAATGAGTATACATAAATTACAAAATGAGCATTCATAAAACTCATTTGAAATGTCTACTATGTTCATAATTTGATTTATTATGCTCACATTTGAAGATTTACGTACAACTTAGATTTCTCTAACTTGTGGCCAACAAGTGACCAAACTCACTAACCAAACTTAAGTAAGAAAAAGAGAAAAAGGGAGAGTAGTCCAAAGTAAGAACAAGGGAGAAGAAGCAACTAGGGCTGCTGCGCAGGAGCCACCGCTCAAGCTGGAGTTTGAGGTGTTGCACTCATGCTGGAGAGTTGCGGCTGTTGAGAATCGTCATTTGTGTAGGCGGAGAGCGAAGGATGAGCAACGAAACGATCTGCGAAGTGCGATGGAAGCATGCGAACTGTGATGGAAGCCCTACGAACTACGATGGAAGCTCTGCGAACTGCGATGGAAGCCCAGCAACCTGCGATTTGCGAACTAAAAGGCATGTTGTACCGTACGCACGGTACAGGCGACCGTACGGTGTAATTAAATGTGTAATTTAACAGATCATCTTCTGATACTTACATGGTCGTGTACTTAGCTCATTTTATTGTTTATCTTTTTCTCTCTCCCCCCTGTCCCTCTTATTTCTTCTTACTCCTTCCACCTACCCGTCCTCCCTCATTCTTCTTCCAAGTTCCGACCACCCCTGCTCAAGCTTTTCTTGTTTGTTTTTTTCTTCTTCCACCCACGAGCAGCTAAAATCGTCAAGTTTGTCATTGAGGAATTCGGCGTCACGTAATCTCTTCCTTGAAAACTCCATCTGGAATTTTCCCTATTTTGGGTATGCCTCTTCACTTACATCTCCCCATGGCAAAGGAAATCGATTGAGATTTTGGGAGCCTTTGTTGTTAATTGTCATCGATGAAGCCTCTTCACTTGCAGAGTTGCAATCACCAAGGATTCACAAGCCGCAACGGAAAGAAGATGGCCAATGCGATTCAATCACATTGCATTTCCCTTTACCTTCACCCGATTAGTTGCTTGATTTGTTCCCATGGAAGTGCCCAATTGGATCCCAACAATGTTTCGAGCCTAAGTCAAGAAAGCCCCGCACGCTACCCCTACTCATGATCCCCATTTTCAAAACTTGTCTTCTGTGAGCCAATACAACAAGAGGAAGAAGATATTAAAAGGCAAGAAGTGAAAAAAGAAAGAAGTAGAGAAAAGAACGGGAGAGGAAGTCAAATGGGACAAAAAGAAGGGAGATGAAGATAAAGGAAAGAAAAAAGAAAAAGAATACGCGGAGGGTGAGGTGGCACAAGAAAGAAGCAGATAGGTGTCACCATATGGATTTAACAACCGATTAACCTAATGTTAATCGGCGCTAAATTATACATTTGGGCACTCATATATAGTTCAAGGTCTTAATTGATTGTTTCTTTGATTTAAAGGTTTAATTAACTTTTTTGATATACTACAAAGCCTATTGGACAATTTCCATTTGAGATTTATGTAACAACCCTTTTAATTGAGTCAATTTAAAATCACCTTGAGGAGACATGCTCTTACTCTTGAGTCTTGATGGACACGCATACTATCACTATGTAAACCACCTAAACATTGTAATACAACTACAATTTAGATAACACATTCCAAATGCCAAGTAGGATAATTTATCCCTTCCCAAATCCGAAATTTGTTCAAAGGTAAAGGGTACAAGTGAGACGGGGGATCATATGTTGAGTTCCCACTGCCAAAATCTCAAAACACCGCAGTTTTTATGCATGTACTAAACTTAGGACAACCCATCATAGAACAGCAACATTTTGGTGCTACGTGATCTCCAAAATTGGTCATGACACCAAGAATTATGCATGGCTACGATTTTAATGAATAGCACGAGAATAATGGTTATCATTGGGATTTCTCCTTCCACTGAAAACAGCAAGTGTTTTCCTCATAGGAGGCTGCAAGGGAGCCTTTTTATCGGTATGGTGGACAAATATGTTGTCTTGAGTAGTAAATATATCATCTCCCTGCAATAAAATTGTTACAGCAATAAGAAAGTAATCAAGAACATCTAAAAATAGATGGCCAGATTTGTGGAATAAGTGAATACCAACCAACTCTTTAATTTTGTAATTAACAATCATATATCATCATCAACTTTACTTTTAATTTTCGTTAGTCAGTTTAACTAAAGTTATCATATGTAACTTGTTTACAACTCTTTTTGGCAACATTTTGATCCATTACATAAAAAATGAGCTTCGCTGGAACGAACTGCACGTTATTGGGTACAAAAAGTGTTCAAAAAATTATATTTGGAGGGGCAGGAGGGATAAACTCATAAATAACAGAAAAACGTGTGGGAGATTCTGAAAATCAAAGTTCTCATGCATGCAAAAAAAGCCTTTTTCAAAATGACCTGCTTGCTTTTCTTCTTTGTTTTGGGGTACAGAATCTTCTGTGGAAGCTGGTCCTCACGTAAAACGGGGTTCTTGGAAATGCCATCTCTACCTCCTTGGGGCAGGGGTAGTGAAAACTGCACAAGAAATAAAACAACATGCAATTCATAATAAGTACAAACGGGATGACTATCACTATCTTCTTTTTCTAATAACCACACAGATAAAGTATTTTTCCAATTCAATAATATGATTTAGATGAATTTCATACTACAGAACCAATTAGATATACGGATTAGAGCATGTTATATAAACATACAGATTAAGGTTCAAATATCACTTTACAGTAACAAGTTTTAGATTATGGAGGAAAGAGATAAATATGAACAGCTAGTTAGTTTCCCAAATAACTAACTTCAACAAATTGGTAGAAAATGTAAAAAAAAAAAGGTTAAGATTCTCACTTTTGTTCCACGCAAAGATACACGTGGTCTTCTTGCTGCAATAACTATACCATTTTCTCCCACTGTAACAGCCACTTTGCGTAGTGTGCCCCCATTGCCACAACTAGGGCAGAAGATCCTACCAATTTCTGTGGTCAACTTATAGCAAGCGTGACATTTTAGTACCCACCTGAAAAATACAAAGAGAATTTTTCACTCAATGTATGCTGGGTTAACAGAATCGGACCGGACCGTGCAGGTCGATCCGGAAACCGGCAACCTGGCATCCAACCCGGTCCAGTTGCTTGTCAACCCGTAAATCCAGCCAAACCTGCAAAAACCTTAAGTCTGCTCAGACCCGGACCCGCAACGGTTCAAACCCGGGAAACCCGATTAATTTCCGGAAATTAACGGACATTGTACAAAAATAGCGCCGATGGGAATCAGTCCCTAGTCGTCAGCATGCCCTGACGAACAACTTTCCGATCTCCCATTATTATACTACCTCCGTAACACAAAGATCTTCCCATTTTGACTTTTCACGGTCGTCTAAGTTGAACTTTGACTCTAAATATCTACATATCTATATTTATAAAATTCATAATAAATTAACATTCAAATAATATGTTTTACAATGAGGTATATGAAATAAATTTTTAATCATAACATAATGTGAGTTTTGAATAATTAATGGTCAAAGTTTATAAAGTTTGACCCAAAAGAGTCAAACTGGGAAGATTCTAGGGTTACGGAGGTAGTACTGTTTAACCCATTACTGTATATGTAGAAAAATGTAGCATATACATGTTATTTTATTATGTGTACATCCGAAACTGTATAGATAGGAAGTAGAGTTGATTTAGGACTCTAACTCTTAGATTAACACGCAGTGTAGATAAGAATAGATAGATCCTAAATATTAGGATCTGTAACAAACCTTAGCTTATCTGTAATTTTGTATTTATATCATTGCCGGATGGCTCAATAATACATGGAAGATTAATTCTTCAAACCTACATGGTATCAGAGCCTCGGTTTAAACAATGGTAGAAACCAGTGAAGCTGATTCCTCACACACTACCAACCCTAACTCCCAAATTAGCTCTATGACAAATTACCAGTCTCCT